ACAAGTTTGGAGCCCGACAAGGTCTACTTAAGGTCCATCGGCAGTAATAAAAGGGTGACAATAATATATTCTTCCGGCCCGAAATATCCCGATTTTACTAGATTTCCTTTTCCTTGTACTACTGGTCCTACGAGCTGCACTACCTGGTCCTACCGCCACCCCCGTCATTCATTATTGCGAACCCCCCCCCTTCCATAAGCCCATTTTCTGGGGGGGTGTTATTAATGTCATGCGTACATTATACTAGATGAATATACAACAACATACATACTATAATATACCTCCAATCATGTCGTGGTTCAAGGTGCAAGCACCGAAAGAAAACGGTGCAACGAGCAGCCAAAGGCTTTGCTGCTCCGATGCCGAATATCCATGCAACTCGGCCTTGGTTCAGAGATAGATTGTAGATATGGGGGGTTTCCTTAAATTAGGGGTACCTTTTTGGGGGTCCCCATAATAAGGATTATAGTATATTGGGTTCTATACAGTAGATCTACTACTGCTGCTACTACTGTTTCTGTTTCTTCTTCTTGTGCAGCTCCTACAGCTTCGTGCTGGCTGGTTCCGACGGCTGCAACCCTGGCTTGTTTTTTTTAAATAACCTATAGCCTTTGTCCTGTTGGGACTTCCGGGATTCCAGATGATTGAGGGAAAAGCGCTTACGAATTTTGAGATTGTGTGCCTTCGTTATGGCACTGCATCGCGGAGCTCTGTGTCTCGATTTGAACAGCACTCAGCCAATCCAAAATACTTCGCGTTGTGGGCAGAGCTCCATCTCCATCGGACTGAGTCCTGGGTCTGAGTGAAGCAGCATTAACCTTTTAAATGGAAGCCCGATGTTGGGGATGCAGGCTGTTGCGCGCAGACGTTCTCTGATTCAGCTGCCGGTGGATTATACAAGCTAGGTCATGCACAGTCACCTCCCTTGCTGTTGCTCTTTGCTTAACACCTCTAATGTCCACTAGACCAGGACCGCTGAATCACATATTCCCAAAGTGCAGATATTCTGGAACCTGACCATCCTGTAGCCAGAAACTTGGGGAAGGGGGAACCCCTTGCCCTCAGATTCGCAGGTCTGTATACCCTCGTGTTCTTGTCACCTCATCTCAACCCCTGCGACAAGGTAAGCTCTCCCAGGACATCAGGTTGGATGTGACTGCAGATGCTTCAAGCAAGACCTAGCATGCACGCCTGAGACTTGATTTCTTGTGACCTATGGGGCAGGGTTCATGCTGAGCTTAAGTTGTCCAACAAGCCGAACAGTGTCGGATCTTCTGCTTCAATAGCTTTAGTACTTGCAGTATGCTATTTCTGATTATCATATGTATCATTGCTTCACAATTTCGCCAATGCCCAAAGATGGCAAAGGGTGATCAGGTGCAGATGCTGTTGCTTCTGCGACAGTGAAAAGTTGCAATAGCTGCTTTGTTGCTGTGCAAGCTTGAGCAGGACAGAAATCCCTTGGAATAGGCCACAGATGTGTGCTGACTGCTGTTAGGGAATCTAGTGGTCATATTCGGGCATACAGGGAAACGATGTAAATTAATGCCGCACCCTGCGGACGTAACAGTTCGGTAGCTGGGCATGCAGGCAAGCTCGCAAGAGTTGTTGTTATTTCAGCACCAGCAGTAGAAGCAGCAGAAGTAGTCAGAGTGGGAGTGGACAACGACAAATACTCACTGTTATGCCATGCTGCTTGCAGGCATCGGGCTCAAATGGGAGAGGGCCCGATAGACTCGTGCCTGTAAGGCGCGGCGACCCACGGTTTATGTGGACCCTAAGTCTGTTCTTTTTCTGGTGCACCCCTCAATTTTTGTTGAAGCGCTGGAATCCTTTTTGCCGTGAATCCTATCTTAAGAGGCGCTACTGACTTGGAAGAAGCTTCCTTCATGAAGAAGCGAGAGATGGGCTTGATGCAGGGCATAAAGGAATCACGGAGTTGAGGTCCAAACAACTACACCAGAGGCCTGCATCACCATGAAACAAGCTATAGTCTGAACTGTCTGAACTCCTGAGAGGGGGTTATAATATGGGATTATAGAGGGGACTATTCTAGGGTTGATCCAGGGGGATACTAGGAGTTTAGACTATAGCTCATATGGAGCTATCCAGGAATACCAAAGGTAGGCAGGGATCCTCTGAAATTTGTTCTTCGGGGCTTAGTTTTTTGGGGCTTAGATTCCCAGACCCCCAAAGGGATCTGAAAATTGGATCCCCTAGAACCATATGGGAAGGTATATAGGGATTGTATATAGGGGATCTACTTTTAGATCGTCCCAGGGGTCTAGGTTTGGCCGTTCGAATGATGTTGCTGGAGTGTCGAATTTCTTGAACCCCTGCCGCATCAAGCCTCCAAGGCCACGTTTGCGGGCCCGAAATGATCTCAACAATGATTTGCACTCAAATCCTCTGAGCCCAAGATGAACTCCTCAATGTTCTGGCGTGTCTTCTACGAATCGGGATCCCTGAAATCTGAAGTCCTGTGATTGTTTCATCAGGCATCCGGCCATGTCCGTCTCGCAGCTGCGATGGCCTTAACTTCCCCGGGTTTGGGGCTTTGCCAACAGGCTGGCTGAGATAGCGATAGGTTTTTTCCAAGGGTTGCTAGGAGGGCATTCGACCTTGTTCAGGGGCTTTGTGTCCATGACAACTCTGACACATCCTTTGGTGGCGGTTATGTAAAGCATCCAAGTGTTCATGAGTACCGATAGCAGAACCGTCTAAAAGCACTGCGGAGAGATCTTTATGAGCACGCATTGAGGAGTGAGAACAAGCATGCCTGGATTTTCATGGAGAAGTGAGGTCATGCAGTGCGCGCTCTTAGCAAGACTGACATGTCAGCGCATTCCCATGGTGGAGATCGGTATTAACATCGAATCTCAGAATGGGCTGCCCCTTAACGGCCGAATGATTTGTTCCTGCTCATCTGCACCATCCCTAGGTAATTGCAGACACCACCTGGGCTCACCTTTTGCAGAAATATTAGTAAGACTTGTCTCTTTCAATCTGGAAAGTCCTCATCCTGTGTCTCGGGCCCTACTCCAATAGAAACTGCCTAACCAAGCCCACTATCCTGTTGAAAATCCTCGGGTCCAAGCACAGCTAAGGCCTCCGGCAATCCGGGATGATGAGAAGGACCGCCTCCTGCGTCGGTCCGAGCACAATGCCAGGCCAGGTTAAGAAATTAATAACAGTAATCATAGTAAGAGTCATCATAATACTAATAATCAGAAAAGCCATGGCTTTGTGTTTAGGGTTCCGGAGGTTGCCCCGTTGCGTCTATAGAGCTGGCTGGTAAGTGGAAATTATTTGAAAATCAGCTTCGATCAGAAGGTTCTTACAGTCCGAGCCGTAAAGTGGCCCAAAGGAGCTGCAGAGCCCCAAAGCTACCCCAGGCCTCCAGCAATCATCGCTCCTTCTGCTGGTAAGGGGAAAGACCGACCTTTTGACCAGACAATATTCTTTAGCCACAACTACTATAGATTGATGCAATTAATGCAATTTGCCCAGTGTACGTAGCTTCTCGGTACTGATGCGAGCACAAGTGATTCTGAGCCAATCCTACCCTGAAGAATGAGTACACCGAAATGCTTCCGGATGTTTGCGGGTGACGTAGGAACTGGCTTAAGAGGAGTTCACACTGGGCATGACTGTTAGTAAATTGGGTAACACACCATCCCGTGTATCAAGAGCCTGCTGGCAGTGGTATTTCGGACTTGGGAAGTTTGAGTCTAAATCGGGTCCAGGCAAAGCGCATCCAACCCATCGCTTGAGAATTGCAGGCCCAAACTCCCTCAAAACAAGGATGGAATTAGAAAGGGATTCCTGCACCTGGAGCGATGGATGGTGTTGGGAACAGGAAGCCAAAGTTAGGTAGAGCGGTCTACAATTTCCATATGTTTTCCATTTGATTCTCGATTGTTGGTAGTTATGTAGGCCCCTGAACCCTAAACCTAAATGGTACTTTCCATCCATGTTCTTTTCCATTCCAATGTGACCTTTTTTTGACAGACAGGGGGTTGCGATCAAGGCTCCTTGGACTATACATAGCCTGTCACTGTAGAGACAGGATGGTAGGCTCAAGAGTTGCGCGTATTAAGCAATGCCCGCCCGAAAATTTGGGATGTCCTACAAGAATCCAAATGGGGGTTTCCCAAAATTAGGGGTACCATTTTGGGGGTCCCCATAATAAGGATTATAGTATTTGGGGGTCTATATTCGGGTCCCCTTGTTTGGGGAAACTACCAAATAAAGTAATGTCAGTGTTAGAGGGAAGGGATTAGCGTTGACATCCCTAATTCCGCTTTCATCCAAACTCGACACCCTGGGAGGGCCAGAGAGCACGCGAATAAAGTTGCTGGACACAACGAAAGCGAGAGGACCAGGGTTCTTTCGGCTTATATAACTTGACGCGGGAGCGTTTCAAGATTCGCACTACAAAGCTACTATTGCAATCCTACATCTCACAGCCAGGCACTGATTTAGTATGGCAGGCTGTCTCGTCATTTGCAATACATGCCGTTGAAATGTGATCCACGTTAGCGGCTGCCGAAATCCTTGTTGAAGCATTTGTGGTTTCTTGACGTGCCGGTTTGGTGTGTGAAGCCTTTGCCTGCCTTGCTCGCGGCAGGATAAAGAAGAGAGATGCCTTCAGGAGGCCGGGATCAGTGATCATGTCGGCATTGTCAAAAAGGAACCCATATCTAAGCATGCTAGCTATGGGACGGAAAGATAGCCACCTGTTTCTCTTGCAGCAGTGTATCCTGCGTCGTGCGACAAACCCCTTCGGCAAACATGTTGCTCACAGCTTTGCCCATGTTGACATGCCTACCCGTTGTGCGGGGTATGTTGTTTTACGGGTATGTTGTTTTACAAAGAGTAGTGTGAGAAATTTGACATTTCGGGGGGAAAAAGGTAGAAGCCCGTTCAGCCTAAAGTGACCACCACCAGCGGGCATCTCACTTCCGAAGCACGCGACGCAAATGCCTAAGCCTCGTGGCAGTATGTATCCGGACTTGCAAATGCGAATTAATAGTCATTATAGACCCTTGATCTTAGAATAAATCTCCCAAATGGATGTTGTGTGCGCCTAAGGCCTCAGGCTTCTTCTTCGGCAACTTCGCGAATCCTGCACAACTTCAGAACCAGTATGGGGCATCGCGAACCTTCTCAATGGGATCCTGAAAATCCTAAAGGTATACAGGAGGTAGAAAACATTTCCCTATGTACCCCTGTATATCCCTACATGCGATCGTGCATGCATATATCTTATCTCCACATTTCCCCATAGAGGCCGCTGTATCCAGATGTTGTGACGCTCCCACAGCCTGCAGGGAAGATAGCATGGCCCGGAGAACTTTCCTGACCTCCCTACGGGAGCGAGAAGAGCGCCGGGCCTACCATGGGGTTCAGGGTTTAAGGATTTAGGGGTCTGGGTTTAGGGTTTAGGGTTTATAGGGGCTTGGGGTTTAGGGTTGAGGGTTTAGGGTTTGTGGTTTAGCCTTGCGCAGAGGATGTGGAGAGGGAGATCGCATTGGTACTACAGGGGCTTTACCTATGTTGTGGTATATAGGGCTTCATGGGGCTCCTATTACATAGGCTTTGGGGAATTTTAGGGATATTACCCCCAGAAGGCAGAAACACGTGGAAACAACATGGAACATGAAGTGGAAGCCGGGTTTATAGTGGTCTGTAGGGACAACCAGCAATATCATGGTTCTAGATTCCTTGTACGACTGTAGTATAGGGTGCCTGAGCCTGAGACAGACTTCACAACAAGGTTGACAAATATCCAGGCCCCGAACAACGAAGATTCCTTGGCGAGGTGCTCCTTCCCGCTGCCCCGTGTGTCATTTCTAGGTCTAGGAATACTGAACAAGAGAAAAAGCTAAACAGTAACCCTTGATAAAAAATGCAATCTACATTTTCACGCAGTCTTCACACATAATTACTACTGTACCGATCCCTAAACGGTTTAGGGTGTGTTTCTGTTTCGTGCTTGAGGGATTCAGACTTTGCGGACTACGAAGGGACAGATTTCCTAAGGGTCCAAGGACCCAAATAATAGAGTTTTAGGGCCCAAATGCTATAATAGTGATGGTATTTGGGCCCTAAAGCCCCATTTTTGGGGTCCTTGGACCCTGAGGGTTTGTTCGGGGTGTTGAATTGGCATCTCTGGGGTT